ATTCAGAAGATGGAGGTCACATCAGCAAGATCATTGAGTAAAACTGAAATGCATCATTTTTCTACACAAGTTATAACAATAACTTAAATGAATCATTATTTTCTTATAAAAAATGTTTGACAGGCAGCAAGGCGCGGGTAATTCGGTTAGTAAGTATATAATTTTAATTTGTAGCTGTTTTTTGAAAATTCTGAATGAAAAAACATTTTGTTATATGAATGAAATTATTCTACTCTTCTTTACAATTATTTCTAGATAGAATGCGATTTAATAGAAGTAATACCAATTATGGCAAATGTAATATATTATTTTCATTGCATTTTTAAAGTTTCATCTAAAACTCTCAAAACGACGTCACCATCCGTCACAGCCATGTCATCCACGTTGATATCGACAATTACTGATAAGCAAAGAAGTCCCCAAACGAGTAAGTATTTCTTTAATTCAATGAAAATCACAAAAGACATTAATTACTATTTCTATCTGAATATAATTCTTTGGAAGAATCTCACAAGAACTTTGAATGTTTCTGTTTTTACTCGTCTTCAATTTACAAGTCAGTTTTCTGTGTATTTGCTTCCACCATTAATATAAAAGAATAGAACAACAACTACAATTTTAAAAATAAAGATTTTTTTGAAGAGAAATTTAAAAAAATTCAAACTCAGTTTTTAAAATGATTGTGCATACACGCACATGTTCATCAACGGAAGCAAGGCTTTCTTCATTAGTCATTGCTCATTCATCTATCATTGAAAATAATGTATTCCAAGTAAATAAAGCAAATATTTTATTCGACTGAAAACATCGAGAAATGAAAATGTTTGCAAAACTTTGGAAAGATTTCTTGGGTTAACTTTCCTTCCTTTTCACCAAATAGTATCAAACTGCTCGGCCGGTTATGTAACCGGAAACGGTCAGTCAGAGAAGCCAAGGCATTACATAGAAGTGTTTTGGAATAGACTCTGCGAAGTGAAGATGCTTTCCAGTCATGTGGATAAAACACAGCCACTTGTAACATGTGCTCGAGTGTTAACTAAATACAAATTTTTGTAACATCCACTAGGCTTCCTTTTCAGGGTCGGAGAGAAGACATGTAACACATTTTTACGCTTTATTAGCTTGTTCTCCTTCTAAAAAAATGAAAAGTTTATTTACGTTCTTCGAATTTACCCCTAGATGTCTTTATTCCAAATGTTTGGGTAAATATGTGCATTGGTGGCACATATTACGATCTTCCTTAAACAAATTGCAGTTGATAACGATCAAATCGAAATATTACTTGAGAATACGATGCAGAAGATAACAAACATATTCCAAATATAAATTGTTTAAAAGCATTTGCACCAGTTTGGTGATGTTAGTCAATTTATTGTGTAGCTTCCACAGAAGCAACAAATGAAAAATCTATTGTACAAAGGATTTGGATTAAATCTAATCTGTAGTTATATTGTGTTATATTTGCCTAAAAAATCGGAGAGCGCTGATTAACAAGGCCATGCTGAAAAGTTATCGGCACAAACAGGATAGGATTTCATTTTTTTAAATCTTATATGAATATGTTACTTCAGCCGGGCTCGTCATTTTGTCCCTATGCTTGAAATATGTAACAAAAGAAGTATATTAAGCGTTATGATCATTTATTTCTCGTTTGTAATTTATTCCATTAAAAAAAAAAACACAAAAAAACAAAGGCTATAAAATATTTTGAAATTTTCCAATTGAATATAAAAATTAATGAAAAATTTGGACCTTTTTCCCCTTTAAATAATCATAAAACGTGTTAATAACATAAAATAACGGAATAGAAGAATATTAAACTTCCATATTGTCAAAAAAAAAAAACAAAAAAACCAAACAAACAAAAAAAAGACAAACATCTCCATTTCAGCAGGTTTCACACTGCTTCTCCTCAACATTTTGAAACTTTTTCATTTTACTACGGCATATGGCTTCAAAAAATTGATATTCTCTTTGACGTCTCCGACTGTGTCTTTTTTTACACATATGTTGATTTCTAATACATACATTTTCTACATAAAAATTCCTGGGGAACAAGTTTTGAAACAATGTCAAAGTGCAGACTTGTTTTTATAAGTGTACTTTTGATTTACATATAATTTGTTAACGTTGTACTCAGGCACGCCATTTAGTATCTATGAATGATTGAGTGACCTCTCATATTGCAGTGGGCTTTTCAGTTATGTTTGATATTGCCAATCTGTTTACCGCTTTCTTCACTTCATGCGTCAGCTGTGAATTGAAGGAGTGATTTGGAGACTTAAAATCATCCATTGATTTCATTCCGAAATTCCATCTCGACTCAACCCCGACTTTTAAGTTGCATTACAATTAGGTAAAAAAATCTTCCAAAAATGTTTAAGACTTTGCCATTTTTAACATAGATATTGCCTTCATATCAAAACTATAAAGAACAACGACGTAAAGTGGGTCAAACTCTTTGGAATTGACCCCTCGCTCCGGTAAGGGAAAAACATGATCGACAAGTATCACCGGACGGTCATCCAGCGGCTGTTTTAATTAAACAAATAAATGTGCAGAAATAGAAAGATTGAGTATTACGGATAAAATAGATATGCATAAAAGAATAAGAGAACAGGACAAAAGACATGCTTATTAACAGGTTGGATATCATCCAAGGACAGAACATTGATAATAGAAAAAGAAAAATACACCAATCTCTAAAGTATATAAACGAATACATCGGAGAATTCTTCCACGACAAAATAGATAAAATCATCAATAGAGAAAAATATTGAAGGGTCGAAAATATTAAAATCTGAAGTGAAATCAAGCGGAATTGGAATTGAGATGCCGACAGCCTGAGATGATTTCGCCATTGAAATAGTATAGAGGTTTGGATTTTGTTGTTGCAAATAAACTTAAAGGAATTAGAATCTATTCTTCTTCTTCTTCTTCTTCTTCTTCTTCTTCTTCTTCTTCTTTTCTATGTGCCGTGTTCCTTCAGGACGTTGGCGATCATGGCTCTCCACAATTTCCTGTCCTTTGTAGTTCTTAGTAAATATTTGCTTTTTGCTATCTCTCCTAAACTCTGTTCTGCCAATCATTTATATAAGATCGTTAGGCAGCGGTTATGCTCTATTTTGCTCTGTTCCTTTGCTATCCAACATTTCATGTGAGTGTTAAATTTTCTCAGCCTTCTTTCCTTATAGATGTGCTGTAGAAATTTCAAATGACTTTTCTGATTTGCATTTGTTTCCATTTTTCTATAACTTCATCGTTGCTAACTTGTTCATTCCATAGTATTCTCAGCATCCTTCTGTAGAACCACATTTCTACTACTCCAAGTCTTTTCATTATCTGTAAAGAGATTGTCCAGAATTCAATGCCATATAGGAAGAATGTATGTCTTTTGTACAAGATCATCTGTACATTTATATCTTTAGATTTACATTGATTTCTTTAACAGTCTAGGCTGTCCTAATCACCCAAACTTAATAAGGAATTTTGGAATTGGAATCCAAGACTGAAAATATTAAATTCATACACGGTATCATATGTTCTCAAACAGAACCATTTTAAGACTAAAATCTGAAAAGACTACTTTCTTTCAGAACCTCCAAACGAAACTAAAATTAGTTAACTATATTTTACTTAGTATTTGGTTTCTAACAAAGCACCAGTTATAATATGTATGAAGTTTTTGAGAAAACAATATAGCGAAGTTGGCTAAATACTATGTCGACATACTATGATGAAAACGGTATCTCTATATATATAACGTTGTAGCCTCTGTCTGTCTGTCTGTCCGTTATCGTACTCCTAGGTATTCCTAGCGTTTGCGAGATAGACTCCCATAACTATATATATTCTGACATTACATTGCCCTGGGTACTATGATATGTATATTTCATTTTGATCAAAGGAGGTCCACGGTGGCCACAAACATCCTACTAATTTTTTCCCCTTTGACTCAAATGTTAATTTGAATAAGAGAATGACTCCTATCCAAAATATAGAAGGAGAAATTCAGAAGATGGAGGTCACATCAGCAAGATCATTGAGTAAAACTGAAATGCATCATTTTTCTACACAAGTTATAACAATAATTTAAAATGAATCATTATTTTCTTATAAAAAATGTGTGACACGCAACAAGGCGCAGGTAATTCGGTTAGTATGTATATAATTTTAATTTTTAGCTGTTTTTTAATATTCTGATTGAAAAACATTTTTTATATGGATGAAATTATTCTACTCTTCTTTACAATTATTTCTAGATAGAATGCGATTTAATAGAAGTAATACCAATTTCTCAGCTGCAGTTAGAGTATTGGCCTCATCCGATACTATACTATACTACTACACCAGAAGTTCTCACAGCTCTCCGTCGGAAACATCCTGCGCCCCATTAGATGTCAGATTTGTTCAGATGGAAAACAATGATTCAAATATTGAAATCCCAAAGGAAGCAATGGTTGCCGCTCTGAAGTCTTTCTCGGGAAGCAGCAGTAGAGGTGTGGACGGCCTTCGACCTGGTCACATCAAGGACTTAATTTCTGCCCACACTGTCTAAAGCTGATGAACATTTGAAAACATCTATAACAGCTCTTATTAATACCCTTCTCCGAGCTGAGATACCCTCAAATGCTCGCGACTTAATATTTTCAGCCAATTTAACGGCTTAAAAAAAAGACAGAGTTATCCGCCCTATCGCCGTTGGTAACATTTTTCATCGTCTCGCGGCTAAAATTGCTTGTAGAGTTGTTGTAAAGTAGATAGGACATGAATTGCGACCTGTCCAGCTCGAGGTAGGCATACAGGGCGGATGTGAAGCCGCGGTTCATGCCACAAGATCATTTTTCGAGAATACATCACCTGTTTCCCCACGTATCTTATTAAAATTGGATATGAAAAACGCTTTCAATAGCATTAGAAGGGATCATGCCCTGGAAGTTTGCCATCAACGGACACCTTCCATAGTTAAATTGGCTCATCTTTCGTATAGTCATCCAAGTATGTTGATTGCCTCCGATAATATTATCTTTTCTGCTACTGGAATCCAGCAAGGTGATCCACTTGGTCTGCTACTATTTGCGATGGCTATTGACGGGGTAGATCGTTCCATCGCCTCTTTTTTCAATATATGGTATCTTGACGATACAACGTTGCGAGGATCCATCGAGGCCGTAGCTGCTGACCTCCGACGAATTATTCCTGCTTTATCTCTGCTTGGACTTGAGATTAACTCGTACAAGTCAGAGATAATAAACATGAATTATAGTGCAGATGATTTCGAGAGTGCTATCCGGGATATCAGACTCATCCTTGAGGATATAAAATAACACCTAAGGAGGAATTACACATTCTTGGTTCTCCAGTCTTTCCAATGACCATTCGAGAGTGTTTGAATACTAAGCTTGTCATTCTAAGCAGAATGACTGAGAAATTGCAATTAATTGATGCACACCCAGCCCTCTTCCTTTTGAAGAACAGTTTTTCGCTACCGAGTTTCCTCTATACTCTCCGAAGTGCCCCTTGCTACCGCGAACAGGATTTCTTAAATGAGATAGATATCACAGTTACGAGATGCGCAGAGCTAATTTGAAACGTCAATTTCGACGAGACAGGCTGGAGGCAGGCAAAAGCTCCTTTGAGTTTCAAAGGCCTGGGCCTTCGATCAGCGGTAGATTTGGCCCTTCCAGCATATCTTTCTTCACTTTCGTCCAGTCGCGAATTAATAGATGAAATACTCGGTGGATCGTCTCAGTGTTTCTCGGGTAGTTCTTTCGAATAAGATTGCAGCGTCTGGGCCTAAGAATTACTTTTTATCTCACTCGACACATCAAAACAAAAAAGCTGGGATAAAATAAAATACGAGGCCAATTTTACTAATTTGAGGCTCTCTCTGGATCAGCATCGCCTCGCCTGTCTACTATCTGCTTTACAACCGAGTAGTGGCGCCTGGCTCAACGCAGTGCCCTCTTCATCTAGCGATACCCTTCTAGATGATGAGTGCACTCGGGTCGGAGTCGCGATCCGTCTTGGACTGAAATTATGTGACCATCACAGATGCAGATATTGAGCTTCCCTTGATGAGTTTGGTTTGCATCCTCTCTCCTGTCGTCGTAATGCCGGTCGCTTTCCACGGCATGCAGCAATAAACGACATCATCAGAAGATGTTTGGATGCAGCTGGGTTCTCTTCCCAAATCGAACCTGTAGGCCTCGACCGTGGTGATGGAAAGCGGCATGGCATTACCATGTCGTTGATTTGGGATGCGACCTGTGCGGATACATTTTCGGCCGGTTTTGATCAAGTCCGCGATTGGGACAAAGACGCATAAAAAAAAATAGTTAAATATTCTTCTGCTGATAGATTTTTTTTACTCCTGTGACAGTGGAAACTTCAGAGGTAATTGGCCCTCGTTCGATGGCGTTCATTCGGAGGATTGGCGCGATTGCGTCTCAATTAAGGGACGCGAAACGGGCAAGTGGCCCTTGCAGCGTGTCTCACTGACGATGCTTCTAGGTAATGCTTTCTCCATCATTGCAGCTGGCAGAGGATAGAAAAAAATGTTTATAGTTACTTTGTTCTGGAATTTTCATCAATCAACCGAACTTGCTTTGTTTCAATAAATTCATTTCGATTTCTTTATTTTCATTGCATTTTTAAAGTTTCATCTACAACTCTCAAAACGACGTCACCATCCGTCATAGACATGTCATCGACGTTGATATCGACGACAAATACTGATGTGCAAACAAATCTCCAACCGAGTAAGTATTTCTTTAATTCAATAAAAATTACAAAATGCATTAATTACAATTTCTATCTGAATATAATTCTTTGGAAGAATCTCACAAGAACTTTGAATGTTTCTGTTTTCACTCGTCTTCAATTTACAAATCAGTTTTCTGTGTATTGGCTTCCACCATTAATATAAAAGAATAGAACAACAATTACAATTTCAAGATAGAAAAGAAAAATATTTTTTTAAGAGAAACTTTTTCATTATGCATACAGGCACATGTTCATCAGCGGAAGCAAGGCTTTCTTCATCAGTCATTGCTCATTCATCTATCATTGAAAATAATGTATTCCAAGTAAATAAAGCAAATATTTTATTCAACTGAAAACATCGAGAAATGAAAATGGTTGCAAAACTTTGGAAAGATTTTTTTGATTGACTTTCCTTCCTTTTCACCAAATAGTATCAACCTGCTTGACCGGTCATGTAACCGGAAACGGTCAGTCAGAGAAGCCAAGGCATTACATAGAAGTGTTTTGGAATAGACTCTGCGAAGTAAAGATGCTTTCCAGTCATGTGGGTAAAACACAGTCACTTATAACGTAATGTGCCCGAGTGTTAACTAAATACAAATTTTTATAACATCCACTAGGCTTCCTTTTCAGGGTCGGAGAGAAGACATGTAACACATTTCAACGCTTTGTTAGTTTGTTCTCCTTCTAAAAATATGATAAACCTTCATTTACGTCCTTCCAATTGATCCGTACCTGGCTTTATTCCAAATGTTTGGATAAATATGTGCATTGATGGCAGATATAACAAGGGTAACCTCAAGCGGTTCATCTGAAACTCTTCAAAGTCTATTGCATTTCTATTGTTGAGAAAAATGAGGTTTCGACCTTTTATATGCGAGAAATTCTTAATAGTCATCATTGATATTTGACTAATATTTTTTTTTATTTTGCAGTAGCGACGTGCTATTCGGGTTGGGTAAATATCGAAGGCTTATGTTATAGAATTGTCAACCGAAAAGAAGATGTCAACAACGCAAAAGACAGTTGTGGAAGTGATACAATTGTGTCTACAAAAATACCAGATGAATTAGCAGACATGATCGGCTATGATGAAATTGTCTGGACGAATAGATCTGTAAGTGTCTACCTTAACAGTTGTCAAATTTTGTTGAATTCTGGGAAGATCTAAAAACTAAGAGTATATCGGAGAATTTTCTAAATTGGAATTAGACAAAAAGAAGACTTTCTCGTGTGCTATATCCAAGAGAAAAAATCATCTAGTTACAAAGTTCAGTATAGGAACACAGTTGTAGGACATTCAGTGACGATCGAATACATTTCAAAAGGAATTGTCTGTGAGGCAATGTTGTTGATTATTGTTTCACGGCAATGCCAACTTTCATATTTATACTAAAGTTAGCTTTGGTCTTTCCAGATAGAGAGATTTCTGTTTGAAAAGAAAATCTCTTTAGGCAAATTTCCGTAATGAAAAGTTCTTCCTAATAAATGATTCTTTATAATAAGCAATTCTTCCAAATAAGCAATTATTCCTATTCAGCGATTCTTCCAACTAATAATAATAATAATAATAATAATAATAATAATTCATTCCTTATTCAGTTCTTCCTAATAAGCGACACTCCCTGTTTATTCAAACTGATATTTGTCATTATTTTTACTTTTTACTGGAGATGAAAACATGTCCAATCTGTAGTAAAAACCTAATTCTTATTTTCTGTTGTTTTTTGTTTTAGGGAAATCTCCAAGGTAAGGAACAATTTCAAATTTTTATACTTCACATAATCCTGTCAATAAAAATATATTTTAACAGATTTTATATGAATTTTTTATTTGAATATGTGCATTTAATTTTTTATTGTTCCTATCAAACATATGATTCACATATAAAATAAATTTGAAATATTGTTTGAATATAAAAACTCTGATGTTTCAACGAAAGTTTTTGTGGAGAAAACGGAATTGGTGGAAACTGCATTTTAATTACGAATTTAAAAGAAAATAAAAGATTTTTGTAAACATTTCCGAAAAACTATAATTCAATTCCATTCATCTAATTCTTTATCTCGGCAAGATTATAATCCTTGATTCTGCTATCATTAGTCTGTGGATCGGCCATTAGAGTTATTTCATTTGCTTTCAAACTAATTGAAATTGAGCCGTTGATTATGGCGGCGTACAGGATCAATTCCCGGTCACGGCAATCAGATTATGGCGGCGTCAGGATCGATCCTGGTATCGGAGAACAAGCCGTCAGCCCACACTTGTCGGTCGTTGAGGGCGTTTGACACTGCAGATTGTCTTTAAGTTGACCTCTTCAACTATGAACTCTCTTACCCACGTTGTGATTTTTGATCTTAAGAGAGTGAAACTGAATTATCTTTGGAGTATCTCAACCAAGCTAAATCAAGGAGTTGAATACGCGCACACAAAATTGAAAATAAAATAGACGACGCCTGAATAAGTAACTTTATGATAATTATATATAATAAAATAAAAATATTTACAGTTCTTTTTTTTCTTTTTCTTCTTTCCCTAACCCGTTCTAATATTTGGCGACGGAACGAAAATTTCGAGTAACTTCTTTAAGGGTGGCCAGACTTGACAACTGGATTTATCTTCAAGTACTGTGTTTTGTACTTTCTAGAACGGCACAAGGTTTATCGTCGGAGTCTTTCTTCAGCGACAACTGGATTTATCTTTAAGTACTGGTGTATGTACTTTCCAGAACGGCACAAAGTTTATCGTCGGACAACTTTTCTTCTTATTTGCAGATAAAGGTTTATTATTATCTGAAATCACTTAACTTCCCGACGCGACTTCTGCACTCCGGAACGTAACCTCAACTCCAACTAACTTTAGCCCCCGTGGGCACTTATGGGTGTCCCTTCCAACTGATGTGGTGCGGGCGAATAGGTGGGTTTTATGCAAATCTCCTAAAATTCAACCAGTCTTTTTTCGTTTTCTGTTTCACACTTCCAATTCTGGAAGATCCCCTCCTCTTTCGGGAGGAGTCGTTATATGATGTCAGCCTTCCTGGCGTCATCTTCTGCCTTTACAATTGCTCATTCTGTTTTCACAATTATAATTTTTTATCAGGGAAATTTTAGCTGATAATTTTCCCAGTTCGTGAACATTGACACCTTTCTACAGACAGCCTTAACCTCTGGCCCCTAAACTTGCACCTGTTCACTGTCTCTCGCTAGGCCACAATAATAGCATTCTGTATATATATATATATATATATATATATATATATATATATATATATTTTTTAAACCTGTTCTCAGTATCCTTGGAAAATGAATCCCTTTCTGACAAAAAATAAAATCATTTTCTTAACCCTTTTCGTCCGTACGCCATGTTAAATATTGTTACATGATAACCTAGTTCGTTAAAGCGAATACATTTTAAAACCTATCGGCAAATGGAAAGCAAGTTGAAAAAAAAACTTGGACAAATTTGGATGTTATTTATTTTGCATAGAATATTTTTTATTTTGTTTCATGGATCGTATAAACTGTTTTAATACAACTAATTAAACAAACATAAATATAGTTGGTTTATTAAAATTTATGTGAATTATTAAGTACATACTAAATTCTAGTGTGTGTGTGTGTGTGTGTGTGTGTGTGTGTGTGTGTGTGTGTGTGTGTGTGTGTGTGTGTGTGTGTGAAAATTTCTCATAGTTAACCTGTAGAAAAGACAATATTTATAAAGGTAAAAGACAATAGGAAAACTGTATTATTAGCCGACGCATTTCGTCCAATGTGGACTTTTTCAAGGCAAAAACGAAATGAATTTATTGCAAACAAAATAACTATTAACAACAAACCAAAATGTCCTTAGCAACTGGATGAATTTAGAAAACGCTATTGTATTCATATTGTCAACTGAAAATTATATCAAGTACTGTCACGTGTGGAGATATTGTTTTATTGTTGTGCTGATGGATTCAACAATTTTCTTTTGATTTCTTGATACTGTTGTGTACGTTTGCTTGGGAGAGTAGTAAATCTGTTAGGAAAGGTGAAATAGGGAAAAAGCCTGGGCGTAGATTAATATTTGGATAATATTCAATGGCGGCACTCTTCTGATTTTCCTCCTGAGTGAATTATGTTCTTTCTTTTATGAGTATAGCATTTTTAAAATTAAAATTGTAGTTGAATTTATTTCTATGAATGACTAGTGCATTAGTTGTTTTTTGTGAGGTCTCTTTTGTACTCATAGATGCATTTTTTTTCAAATTTCTGCTTATTTCTCCAATATATTGGGAGGAACAGTTTTGGCAATTTATTTTGTAAATGCCTGCTTTTTGCTGAATAGATAATTTGCCGATTGTATGCCACTTTCATAGTAACAATGCATTTACTATACTAATTCAAATTCGGGTAGGGGATGTACATGAACCTCCAAGCAATTTCGTTACCCGTTCTCTTATCCCAAGGGGGTTTTAGTCCACACGCAGATTGTCTTGTTACCATTAGGTCTCGGACCAATATGATGTTTCTGACCCAAGTAGGAGTTCTGTTGCCTCGACTTCTGGACAGACGCGACATATACACTAAGGGTATCAAGCATGTATTTTCTTTCCTGGTTTGATTGTCCCTTCATTAAGGATGCTGCATGTAGACGTTATTTTTAGGGGAGTGGGTGGCGTTATCCGCCTGATAGGAATCCGAACATTCGAGTAACTCCAAAGGAGGATGTTCTATCAGCAGGTACATAATATCGGGGCTATTGTATTGTAATTTTGTGAATAGTTTCTGTACCGTAAAGTATTCTCCGCTGGGATGCCCCTGAACGCTAGTTATCGTCTCTCGACGATTCTATTCAGGTTATTTATATATGCAACTCCTGTGGGTGTGTTTCTGTCTTATTGGTTATTAACCTCCCATCAACTAATACACATATGAAATAAATTAAAATGAAAATGAACAAAACTAGCAAATCCAGCCTAAAAACAAAAACAAAACAAAGTAGACTCTACTTATACCATCTTCTACATCAACGTGAGGGTTTACGTTCCAACTTTCCAGAAATGAGGACTCCATCTTATTCATATCAAACCCGTTCTTAATCTGAGACCTATCAATGCCTTGTATCCTTAGATCGGTAATCTTAGATTGAATACCTGAGAAGATTGATAATATCCTTTTTGAATTTCTCTCAGCTAGTTTTCAGATCTGCAGTGACTTCAATATCCAACATAAAGAATGGTTAGTCCATTCTAAAAAAAAAAAAAAAAAACAACAACAACAACCAATAAAAGACATATTATGCACATTATTAGAATTCATTCGTTGACAGACTATATATATATATATATATATATATATATATATATATATATATATATATAAAAACAAAACAAAGTAGATCCTACGTATACCATCTTCTACATCAACATGAAGGGTTTACATTCCAAATTTCCAGAAGGGGGACTCCATTTTATACAGTCCAAATCCGACCTGCTGTGACTATCTGAAACCGGTATCAATACCTGAAGCACACTAGATGAACTCACAGACCCGGGATGCTCAACTCTTATAGCAAAACACGACAACCTAAATGGTCACGGCCACAGATCGGATCCTACATCAAGGATGATTATGTCTGTGGCAGGAACAAATAAAACGAAGATCCTGATCACTCGTCTATGTGATACCGACTCCCAAATGGATGTTTCCCTGATCACTACAACTTAACCTGTTCCTGGCTGGGGTCAACCATTATCTTCCACTCATAACGTAACCCTCTGTCCCGACTGGCTCACGGGCCTTGTAAAAAATAAAGCAAAAGAAAAAAAACAAAAAAACAAAAGAACTCATTCGCTGATTTTCGGCTTTATAAGTTTCCAAAATATCACGTGATTTCTTTGATTTTACATGCCATTTTGTGAATAGTGACCCACCTATCTATCTATCTATCTATCTATCTATCTATCTATCTATCTATCTATCACAATCTGTTCATTTCTCTCTCTTACTATCAAAATATGTTCATATTTCTTTCTTTTTCACTCTCGCTTTCTCTTTCTCTAACTACCATATTGTCAACGTTTTGTTATTTTTAAAATTCAAGCAATTATTCCACCATGTTGTGGATATAAATGCGGAATCAGAAATTGTAAAATATTTAAAGTTTTCTCTTGCTGCCTGATGTTTTTATGTTAAACGATGTATTTAAATGTTTCTTTTTATTAATGATCAACATGTTTTTTATTTCTTACCGATTATCAAAATGTTTTTCCTCAGTAAAATCTTGAAATGTTTATAACGTTATTTTCAACAGGTCAGATGAAGAATCTTTCCGATGTACAACTTCTGGTTAATATAATTCTCTAAATATTCCAGAGAAAATATGAATAGGTAAATATATAAAAAAACTGTTATTTATTTACATTTTTTTCATTTGAATTTCTCTGTCATATGAATCTTTCTCTTATTCGATTTGTTAAAAAAAAATATGAAATGTTGCGCTATTCCACCAAGAATTATATAAATCAGAAAAAGTTGGGGCTTTAAAAATGGTTTAAAATTTTCTATTGCATTTTTTATGTTATGAATTTCTTCTTAAATGGTTTTTTTTTTATTTTTAAAATCAAAACCTTTTTTTATTTATTACCGGAGATCAAAATGTTTTACTTTTAGTAAAATCTTTTCGTTATATTAGTCTTTTCAACAAACCAAATGATGAAGTCCTTCCGAATGAAACGCGTTAAAATAAACTTTCCAATTTTGTCTTCCAGAGAAATTATATATATATATATATATATATATATATATATATATATATGAAACTTTCGTTATAAACGACTGACAAGGTCCTGCAGTTTTTTTTTTATTTGATTTTCCTTGTGTTCTTATAAGTTTCTTCTTTTCATAAATTATGTAGAAATTATCCAAATGTTCAGTATCTTCGAGCTCTTTCCTGTATACTTTTAGCCATTATCAAGAAGGATCTTTTTAAAATTTTAACTGAATAAATGGATATTTTATATGTATATCTAGAGTTATAGGAATGTTTTAATTTTAGAACACATATCAATATAATTATGTGTTCATAATTCATGTTTATGAAAAGTTATTTTTTCTTCTTTAATAAAAATTAATTTGTAAAAAATTTTTTTTACATGTCGATGAGGTTTTATATTTGTATTATCAACAAAGTTGGGGATTACAGTTTGGTGGGTCTCCATATAGTATTTAAATATATAGACCTAATTGAGCTATTTTCATAGAGATGTAACGTATAATCCTAAAATTAATGTTAGTGCTATATTTTTTATAATTATGTCTACATAATTTATGCCCTGAGAATAAAATTATAAGAACACAAGAAAAATTAATTAAAAAACTTAAACATGTGAGTCGTTTTTAACGAAACTTGTATAAAATATGGATTACTACCCAAATACACAATATAGATTATTTAATAAATAGAAATTAATGTAGAAACACGGCGTTGCCCGAGATGTAACAGTTTGAGATAGATCGTATCGACCATTGTAAATTTGAAAAATAAAGTTGACAAAGATTATTGTTTTATTATAGACAGGACACGCATGTCTTAATTAGTTTTTTTTTTTTTTTTGCGAATTGGTCAAACCCAAACTCAAATAAAAAAGTTTTCAATCGTTATGAGTCTACCGATTGAATAGCATTTTATTATAAACAATTGTCTTGTAAATGGAATTTTTTAAAGATATTCTGAATGTAAAAATAAAGAAAAAAGTGTCTGGACAATCAAAAACACTACCTGCCAATTTAAAAAGTTTAAGTTTTGTTTTTGAATCGGTAAAAAATGTAGGAAATTCGATCCCATATATAAAACGAATATTCGGCACACAAACAACCTGGTTTTGATTGTAAGTCTAACTCGATATGAGTTGTCTCCCTTTGGATTCTGGCAACAGTGATGCCTATTAATCGTGTTTTTTAAATTGATTTCTGCAAAAACAATTATTTTTTTTTAAATTTGGTTGCATATCAAAAGAACTAACGCAAGGTAATTTTACGTAGTCTTGTGAAGTTTTGTTGAAATCGGATTTGAAAAATGTCAAAGTATCCGATATATAAACCACACACACACACACACACACACACACACAACACACACACACACACACACAACTGGGTTTTATAATAATAAGATATTTTCTGTTTATTTTATTTTTATAGATAGCTTTTTGTAGATAAAAATTTTAGTAAATGCTAAGTTTTTTTTTTTTTTTTTTTATTATTAAACCGTATTAATTATCTTTACTTGCCTGAATGTTCATGAAATTTCGTATCAAATTAAAATTGTGACAGATTCGAACCTGTATTCCTTTTACGGAAACCGGCATTTGGCCTGACGTGCTATATTATTCAGCTACAGAGATGCGTCTGATTTGCAAAATCCAAATTAATGTTTATAAACACACAATCTTAGAAGGTGCCGTTCTTTTGATAAGTTTCGTTCCGAGTAAGTTTGTAAATTCTCGGAAAAGTGTTGACTGGAATTGCGTTGTTATTATTGATAGGACACCTAACGATGGAATCTAATCTAATATGATTCTTGCAATGGTTTCTTTTGAAAAATCCTTAAATAGCAAAGCAGTTGTAAATCTTGTGAATCTATCGACAATAATGAGGATATATGTATATACGCTGTCATATAGATATGGGAAGATATCAATGTGTAGTTTACCAAATCGTGTGTCTGGTGTATTAAAATTTCAGGCGGTTTACTAGTGTCTATGAATCATGTGTTTTTGATTCTGTAAACAAGAGTGTGTCCAATTCTTTATATCTGCCGCCATATTAGGACATACGATAGGTTCGCAGATGAATTTGATTGTGGCCTGTCTCACAGAACGTGAACATTCGCGGAGATGGCGGAAGATAATTATCGCCCTTGAGAGTGTATCTACTCTAGTCTTATCTTTGCCTGAAATGAAATCAGATTAAAAAGAGTGTTGACTGGAATTGTTTTCTTACTGATGGTGGCACGTAAAGACGTGTATTGATCTTGGTAATATCACAGTAATAAGTGTTCCATTCGGGAAGGTGACAGGAAATGGGAATAGTCTTAAGGACTTGCATTCCCGTAATTGCATCTTTTGTCTTTCTTTTATTCCTCGGCTATCACTTTGTTGACAATGAATCTGAGGACATCGCTGCAATTGTCGCACGTGACAGTGTAACGGCTATAGAATTATCTTTACCTGACATGAAACGTATATCAGATTAAAAATTAAATTAGAATTGACTAAATAATCTGCTACAGATTATCCAGATATCCGCATTCCAAAATTTTCTTTAATTTTTTTCCAAGATATCATTTCTCCGTTTTAATTTATAATCAGAAATAGAAGAGTCGCTCAGAAACTCGTTTGAAATGTTTATAATGTTCCTCCGTGTTTTTACTTGCTATTAAAACATCGTATCGACTAGAAATTATATCCGTAATTCTGGATTAACTCAGTTGTCATCTTGCTAGGCAGCATTTGTTAAACCAAAAGGCATTCTGGTAAAAAATGTTAATGAGGCCAAATCATGTATTAAATTTGAAATGCTATCCTCATATGTTGACGGATATTTGGTCTATGGAGTTTTCTCCCATCGAATTTGGGGAATCTTTTTGCGTGTCGTGTATCGAAGTCATGAATATGAGGAATGTTTCGTTAGAGAGATTGTAACTCCACCGGAATAGATATAGTAGACTGCAATTGCTGAAATTTGTTTTGAGGGTCATATGACGTGGGTAACGTATTTGTTTTTTTGTGGCCTTTATCCAACAAACAAAATACGTTTTATCGTCTTCAAAGCTTTTTTCAGGTCTTCCACCATAGGCGCCATGGATTAGTTGTTAAGTGACAGATTCAAATAGGCAATCGTCTGCAAAATAGATCAGATTAAGAAGACCTTGGTTTGACGCAGAATCCAGATGGTGTTCTGTCGCATTCCACGACATTATTAAACAGCTTTTCCGAATTTTATTTTCGTTTTTAGTAACCGTTGCATTATTGATACAGGTCATTTTCAGGCATTATTCCAAGAAGATCTTCGACTTTATCCACGTTTTCTATCAGCAATTTTCTGCACTGCACCCGTATCGTGCTTTCCATGTTGTTATTTTTCAGACGTTGAAGAGTGCCTGTAACGTCACAAACAATACTGGGTGGACATTTTGTTGGTTGTACGGAAGAACATTCAATGCTAGCGAGATTTCTGTCGGGTTTGAAAATTTGCCAGTTATACTGTCGTTATACTGCTGTCAAAATGATAATCTCCTTTGCTTATATCAGTATATATAAACTTTAGGTTCTCGATCTTTTTCTCGTTTGATTGGGGAACGTTGAATCCTTAATTCTGATTTGCTGGTTTTCGTTATTTGACTGAAACTGCCCCCAGCGTTCTTTACAGGCGTTTAAATCTGTTAATTAATGCTTTAATCCTGGCTTCATCCGTACGTGCGTGGGAAAATATTTTTTAGGTTTTTGATAAACATACGAAAAAAGAATTGTTACCATTTAAAAAAAAATTGAATAGAGATTTGGTTTTTATTCAATACCATATTTTCGAGATTTCAACATTTTGCCTTTTATAAAAGAGACAATTTCAATAAAATTCCAGAGATTGCTGGATATTTTGAATTTTTTAAAATCAATTGTTTAGTATTAATAACTTATAAGTTTTAACGAACGCCATTTCTGTTAATATCTACTTCACATTTATTTTCTCTTTCTTTCCATTGGTTCATTAAAATGCAGCAAATTCCAAAACGAAAGTTAAAAAATCCAGTATTATTTTATCTGAAATTATTGTATATTGTGTCTGTGTTTGTCTCAACTCATCATATTGTAAAAGTTATTAAAGGGTAAGAACTGTGTTTTTCTTGATTCAAGGGAAATAACTCATTTTAACTTATTTCATTTAAAAAGTTAAAATAACCGCATTGCTATTTTTTCTATCGTGAATTGTAAAATGACTTCTAAAATGAATAAAAAAAATTAGGAATTTTATTTAACAGACTTAATTTATTTAAACCATTTATTTTTTCTTATTACTTTTACAAATGTTATCTGAAAATGTTACCATTTTAAATTTATTTTATTCTTTTACCAAAGTTAATCGCAATTTACTCATTTTTGTGCTTCTAATGCCAGAATATTA